GACCCGCTGTCTCTGGGGCAGGCACGGCGCGAACGGCCTCCCGCGGTCGGAGGCGGAAATCGCTCGGGTGCTGGCAAACCCGGGCGGCTCTGCGGGGCAGCTTTACTGAAGGGCCGTTAAAGACTCCAGGCAGAAAAAAAGAATAATTCGTTCGTCTTAGCTTTGTCACCAAGATGGGCTATAATGCCTGGGTACGAGGGGTAGCAGAGACTAAAGTTGCAGCTTCTTCCTGTAGTGATGGTAAGTTGTAGGTTGCTTAACCCTTCACTGGGCTTGGAGGCGTGCCATCCAGCTGAGGTTCATCTTTTACCCTGCTGTTGCAAATCTAAGCTGATCTTTGAAGAGATGAGAGCAAAGAGCTAGAAGAGTGGAAAAGACAGATGGGAAGGCTAACAGCGGCTGGATTTTTAGTCTCTTTAGGTGATGCTGAGGGCGATGACAACATAGTTTTCCTATTTGTGTTTATTGTTTCTTGCTGGGATGTCTTTTCAGTTTAGTGCGAGGACCTAGTGGAAACACTGTGGCTTGTAGGCATCGAGGAGATAGTAATAGCTGTTCACGTGAAGACTACATGAATGATGAGTTTGCCCATCAGTAGTTTCTCTCCCACAGTTATAGGACATCTGGAAAGAGTTACAGGCTCACTGGGTTACATTTAGGACACTGACATACCAATATGCAAGCGTTTCTGCATGTCTAGTGGCCTCCAACATCTTATGTCATGTTTTATATAAATTAAATCTATGGCTTACATTAGTCTTTCCTGCATTTGTTGATGTTCATGAACTTTTTGACCTACTGGTCAGAATTTTTGTAGAGAAGCCGAGCTGTGTTGTAACGTCATGTTGTGGTAGGGTCACACCATCCCCTAAAGAAGACAACCCAGGTGCCCTCACCTTTGTAGGCAGATGCTTACCTGGACTGGAAATAACAGATTTGTTTGGAAGGTTAGGAGAAAAAGAACTTTGCAGTCATTTGTTACTGCATGGCATCATTAGTAGTGAGCAAGGGACGTGCGTGTCTGGTCAATTGATTATGTTCTTGGCCCTTACTCTACTTTTGCCCATACCAGTGTCCTAACAGAAAAAAGGACAAAAGGATTTTGTCAGAAAATCTCTGCAGGCTGTTGTGTTTCCTTTTTCCTCTTACTTGCTGCTGTCAAATATCAAGCGTGGTGAATTGAGCCTTGAACTGTTGGTAAGGACTGATTAGATTGTGGAAGGGTTCCATGTTTAAGAATAGAACAAAGGCCTTAATAGCGGCGTGTAAATGCGTAGGCAAAAATAGCTGTGATGCTATTATATCTTGTTGAAAAGACTCTGAGACTGTTTCCTTTATCTTGTGGTAGTGCTGCTCCAATAGTCAGCTGCCTTTTCAAACTCTGGCTTGCGTTATGTTTGTTTTTAAGGAGGATAATCGCTATATGGGCTATTTCCAGCTTTGGGGGCATGCAGTTGCTTAATGGGCCAAATGTAGCAGATCAAGCGAGGTTGTGTTTGATTAAACTACATCAGCTGGTGGTCAGTAAACCGAGCCAGAACCACCTGATGGCTATATTAATTGTTGCTTGCTCCTTTTCAGGGAAAGCTGACAGCAAGAGAACGAATTCTTCTGCTGTTGGACCCCGACAGTTTTGATGAATATGACATGTTTGTGGAACACAGATGTTCTGACTTTGGGATGGACTCTAGTAAGAATAAGGTAGTTTTATTTCACGTAACTCTTGTTTCTTTGTCCTCTGCTGTTTAGCCAGCCGACTGGTTGAAAATAGGCTCTTCTGTTCATATGTAATTTCTTTTATGTGTTTGGTGTTCTTTTGTTTTGTTTTGCAAATTTCCTTTTAATACGCACAGTTTCCATTTAATAGCTTACATGGTTTACTTTTCCATTGTCTAAACTTAATATGTTTTTTATAAGGTCACCTGTTTGGTTCAAAATGCCTCCCCAGATATTGTCTTAGATGTGTATTTTAAGTAATAGAACAGGCTGCAGAGCTTTGTTGTTACGACTTTGTCAATCAAGTCAGATATAAAGAACAAATATGGATAGATACTTCTGCCTCCCTACAGGTAACGGTAGGGTAAGAGGATGAAATAACTCAGATCCATATTTATGCCTGCCAAACTGCAGAGTCATAAAATTCTTTAGGGCCTTAAAATCTGGTATGTTCGGAAATTCAAGCATTCATACTGGCCTGTTAGCAAGTTGCAAACTGCTTGCTTATGCAGTTTTCAGATAGATGGCCACATATCTAGACCAACATGGTACATGAGGTTCATCACGTAGAGGGAAAATCTGTAGCTCGTTGATATCTGATAAATTACTACATGGGAGAAGTATTTTGTTGTGATTTAGTACAGAAAGGACCATCGAACATGGTGGGATGTGTAGGTGGCTAGTGCAGATGTGCCTGTTCAACGTGAATCTTCCTGTAGCAAAAGGCTCTATTTGCTGCGGAGTATTCTGGTTTGGGGTGTGATCCAAAGCTGCTCTGTATGTCCCACTGCCTTGTGCTTCATACAATGACTAAAACTTGTGTTTATGCAGTTATTAAACCAGTTCGTCAGTGTTGAGCCCTTCAAGTTGCAGGGCTGCATCCTTTGGATGAGGGAGGGATCAGCAGGCTTCCACCATGAGCAGCTGGGGCATTGGGAACCGGCAAAGGTGAAGGATTTGTTTTTGTTTCAGTAGCCAGAAGACTGATGGGACTTGGTGCTGGGAAGGATGTTGTGTTAGACCACCTCCCCTCTCCAGGAGTGTAGGAGCAAATGTCTTTTCTTCTCTAAGTAAATTTTTACTCTGTTCCCCAGCAAACCTGACTAACTGCTCTGTTGCCTCTCATCATGCTACTCAGTGCTGCATCCCACAGTGCTGGTAACAAATTGCTGTTTCTGAAGATACAAGGAGCAGCAATGTCCTGAGAGTGACAGGAGGGTTAATTTTTTCCTTATCCTTCAGAATTCACCTTTCAGTGACCTGCAGATTGTGTTTACAGAGCACAGTTTCACAACAGATGACCTAACTGTGGCCAGTGAGCTGGAATATTAGTTTAGCATTGAATTTCTCTGAGTTCCTGGAACTTTCTGAAGGTAGGATAAGACTGGTGCTCGCATCCAGGCTGCTCTGCAGGCTGTTTGGGATTTTAGGAGTCATCTGTGTGAGGCAGTGGCTGGATCTACAGGTGTGTTTCCTGCTGTTCTGGGTGCCAGGAACCATGAGTTGTTAGCCATGTTGTCTGTGCAGCCTGAGAAAAGTCCCCAGACCGCTATGACCTTCCTGAGAATGGATGACCTTGACCATAAATGACCCTTAGAATGGGCCCTGTGTGATAGACACTCTCTCTTTTCTCTCTCTCTCTCTCTCTCTTTTTTTAAAAAAATTATGCCAAACAGCAAGAAGCATTTAAATCCCTGGAATTCCTTTATGACACCCCAGTAAAGTTTCTTTTCTACTGTTGTCTTGAAAGACTTTGCCTTTACTAAAAGGTGAGACTACATAGATAAGCAGATTTTAAGATTCACAGGCTCTATTTCCTCTTCCAGCTCTTTCTTCTTCCGTTATTAACAGGGTGAAAAATTTGGACAGGTCAAATTGAAGTATTTGAGGTGACTGGAATTATATTTTTTTCACCTTTCCAGGATTGTTTTTTTTTTTCCCCTATATCAGTAGCTCAAGAAAGGTTTGTGTGCTGTGTCTGTTCTTTCAAAAACATCAGGTGGTCCTAATAAAAGGTACATCCTGTCTCTAAGGACATGATTTGCCTTAACTCCGGACATGCTGAAATTTGAAAGGAAACTGCAAAATTCACTAATCTTTACCCTAATACACAACTAGTGTGTGATATTACCTCTAGTTTTCCTTCTCAGGGCTGGCGGAAATCTTTGTGGAGCCCCCACTGCAAATGTGAAAGGCCAGTCCTCTCGGAGAATTGGCCTTTGCTTTGACTTAGTACTCGGTATAGATTTGTGGGTTTTTTAGTAGACGTCATTGCTGCTTTGATATTTTTTTTAATTATTATTATTTTAAATGAATTTATTTGTGTTTTAATGCAGTATCCTGGAGACAGTGTGGTAACTGGCCGCGGACGGATTAATGGGAGACTGGCTTATGTTTTCAGTCAGGTATGGTTCTGATTGTTTTTTTTAATAGCATGAACTTATTCTGTGAAATAAATTCACAGTAGTTCAATGTGCCATGTAGTAATGTACCTGTTAACCTTCTACCAATAAGCATAAGACAGACGTAACATCCTGTGGGAGGAAGCAGGGTACCTTCAGACAAGAAGAAGCAAAAAAGCATTTCTAAAAACTTTCTTGGGTGGTAAATGCAGTTGTGACAAGGGTGAGATGAAAAGAATGAAGAATGCAAAGCCAGTGGGAATATTTTGAAAAAGCAAACTGTTACTACTTCAGTGTAACATCATTGGATATTGATATGCTGAGAGACTGGAGGAGTCCCCCAAAACCACGTTTTTAATAACCAAGAAGTGAATTAATGGAGAAGTCACTGAGCACTGTGTACTTAAAGCAGTTGCAAGCTTTGACTCTGTCCCTGCAGTTGGATGTGTGTGGATGATCTCCTGCGGTTGGGGGGAGACCTGTGAGTGTCAGTGGAGGGCTTTGCGAGTTCTGAGAACAGTCTGCTGGGTTTCGGGCTGCGGAATGGGGGCTCTTTGCTGCAGGTGTCAACTGGAATTCCAATGAGTGAAATTTGTGACAGAGGGCACTTGAGCAACCTTGAATTGTTTCTCAGGTTCGAACTCTCTGATTAGTTGAAGGGATTGTGATAGATAACATATAAATAGATAAAATGTACTTTTAATGTTAAAATATACTTTTTATATTAAACCAAAAATATTTTAGAGGAAATGCTGTAGATAGAGATTTATCTTGGTTACTCTTAACAATGTGAAAGAAAGGCTTGCTTTCAGATCATTGGTAACTACTGCTCTGTTCTGGGCCACAAAGTAGCCTTTGTTCAGTTTGCAGTCATGGCCAAAATGATTGTTGTTGTGTGACCTTGGAGCAAATTGTACACCCTGCCTTTTTTGTCTTGGGTATGTAGTCCTTCCAAGGAAGGACAACTGTTATGTGGGCCTGAACATAAGATAGGAGCTGAACACAGACCTTAATTTTAGAAGAACATAAGTAGAGGGCAGTTTTTACATCAGAAGAATTTAAATGTACCCCTTCATGATACACGTCTCTTTTTTTTTTTTTTTTTTTTTTTTTTTTAATATTTAAATGTAAAGACCCTTTTCCCCTCCAAAGTGAGCTACCACCTGAGAAGTTCATTCCTTTTTGGCTCAACTGCTAGTCATAGTCATGCTATTCTCTGTCCACACAGTTTTTTAGAATTTCTTTGAGAGTTAGACTTGGTGGGAATGCATCAGAGAAACTCAGCAGAAGTTGGCTCTGGGCTCTGTCTGTGCCAGTAGGTGTCAATATCCCCTTTTCCTTCTGGATCAGTCCCAGGGCCTCGAGTTGTTTATTAAAGACGTTACTGCTCAGGCCTGGGCATAGCACCAACAGTCGGTTTTGTCTGTCATAGTCTGTACAGCACCCGTAAAAGAATAATCAACTCATGAATGTGGAAGGATGGCATATTTATATCTTTTTATTTCTGCCTGTTTGCGGACATGTCTTACTGCTGCCTGTTGCAGTGGGACCATCCTTACAGGTGAAATTTCTCCAGACTACTTCTGTATTGATAATGCTGATGAAAGAGGAACGTATGTTTGTAGAAAGAGAGAATGTTTCTGTGAAGGAAAAAAAAAAAAGGCAAATGAGACATAGTGAGTTTGATTTTTAACATGGAATCACTGGCAAATGCATATTAAAGATCTTTTTTCCTTATAAAGGATGCTTGGATTTGAGCAGGATTGATCTGCAGCCTGCACTATGGGAGGCAAATTGTTTTGAAGCAGCATACCAAATACAGAGCATTGTAGGATTATACTATTTACTTGCAACATTTTACAACATTTTGCTGAAATGATTCTTTCCCTAATCTGAAAATTTGTTTTCCCTCCAGGATTTTACTGTATTTGGAGGCAGTTTATCTGGAGCTCATGCCCAGAAGATCTGCAAGGTAATATTTCACAGGGGAAAATAAAACAAAAAAACTGTCGGCGTCCATTTTTCAATCTGTTGTGTTAATGACTTTGGAGAAAATGATTTGTGACTGACTTTAGTGGACTCTGGCATGTGTTGTGGCAACCTGAAAATGCCTGCCTCTTCGTGTCAGTTAAGGTGTGAAAGCAGAGGTGAGCAGAGAGGTACCCTTTGGAAGCTTTTAAAGTGTGAGAGTGCTTTTCCAAGTAATACATGCTTTGTTTAATACAAAGTTACCTTTTCTACTGTGCTGTGAAAGATGAGAGACTACTTGCAAAGTACAAATAGAAATTAACTAGCCATTGTCTACTCGGGAAGTGTGAAATGACTTGGGCGAAACTTTTTCCTTTAAACGGTGCTATGTGGATGTGTGTAATATTTATAAAAAGCAAATGTAACAAGTAAACAATCTGAAGATAAACAGGTTTACAACTTGGAGGTCACCTTGATACTCAGAGCTTCTGTTATCAGGCACTTGTGGCTATTTATTCTCATTTGTCTGCTTGTCTCACTGGGAAAGCTGATGTTTGAATCCCAGCGGTGGGGGGGACAAGAACTTTTTTGTGCATAAGTGTTCAGTGTTAGGGGCTGGTGAAAACTTCCTGAATTTTCTTGCTATGGAATCAGAAACAAGGTTTTTGGTGCAGAAGGCCTTTTCCCCTGATGGCAATAACTACTTTTTGGCATAGGATTCTCAGCAGTGGGGAGGTATAAAGCCAGAAAACACAAAGACTTTGGCCTGGATGATAACTAGTTGGCTTTCCCAAGACTTGATAACAGGGGAAGACGTGATACTACCCTTTCACACTAGAGCTTTGCAGTGTCTCTTTGTATTGGGGAGGGATGTAGTGGTACTGGAATAATGGGATGCTTTCAGCTGTTTTTTTGATCTGTTATTTCTAAAGAAGCAGGGAGAATGCTGATAGCAGAACTAGAAAAAAAGAAAAAAGTGAATCCTTCCTAGTTGGTGCTGTTCTTGGTTGTCATCGATGTCAGTGGTAGGCTACAAAGTTTGAAAACTCTGAACGGTTGCTTTGGGGCTCAGTCTTTGAGGCTGCAGCCTGGGCAGTGGAAAGTTCAAAAAAGACTGGGTGGTGTGGTGTCTGTCTCGCTTCTCTTAGTTCTCCTTATTGCGCTGAATGCTGGGAAGCAGAAATCTGTTCCAAGAGAGACAATCTTGGCTCCTGCAAACCGGTTTCATAAGGGGTGTAATATGTCGTGGAACATGGAAGTGAGGTTGCTCTCTCTCGGCTGGGCTTTTGTGGAGATCTGCCCCGTTGGTGGTAATCCTTTCCCAGTTGGGATTTTTTCCTGCAGCTGCAGAGAGGTAGCAGTATTTGGCATCTTGCAGCCAAACTCCAGGCTAGGTAGGGCTGGGCAATGGATTGCCAGTTACTTTTGCAGAAGAGCCCTGTGGTCTTTCAGACCACATTAAATGCTTGTAATGTAAATCCCTGAAGAAACAGAGACTTAGTGTGGCTCTTTTGAGAATAATAGATGCCTTCTTGTGGTGGGGAACACTTTAAAGCCCCTATACATTTGTGCATCTATGGTGTCATGTTTCAAGACAATTGTGGAATCCATGAGATGAAAAGAAGTGTTTTTGAGAATGAACCCTGAAATGTTCCCTACAAATAATGGTATGGCAAAAAAAAATGTCTGTTTTCAAATACATGAATGTGTTTTCAGTAGTCTGAATGTGCATAGTAATGTGTGTTTTAGGAAGAACTTCAGTGTCTGGAAAAGCCTTGAAATAAATAATTAATCAATATGTAAGTCCTTGGGAAACAACAAAATGTGTCAGTGAACTTGTTTCACTAACCTGACCTAATAGGATAACAGGCCTAGGAAGAAGCAATAAATGTCAACTGAACTGATTTTTAATAAGACATTTGCTAATGCGTTGTGTAACGTTCACATAAGCAAACGAGGGCACTCGTGGCTCACAGAGCCTCTGTTTGCAATCCACACAGATGCTTTTTTAATGTGGGGTTGTATTTAAATTGTGAAGTCATTATGTGTGTCTGCTGCTGCGATGTTTCAACTTTTAAACAGACATCCGGGCACAAAGCATGAAGAACCCCTGTTTTACGTTGAATGACTGCAAGTAGGAACAAAGCCACTCTAGAACTAGGCAGAGACAGTTATCACCGATTCATGTTTAGGCTGGAATTTTGGTACTGCTAAGACAGTATTGATTTGAATGGGACTGAGTATGGTTACTGTGTTTCTAGACAGTATAAAATTCAAGGTTGGTGCTGCAAGCACTCTCAAAGACAGGACTGAAGTTTTAAAAAATCTTAGTAAGTTAAAAATTGTCTGAAATAAGGTATAATGTTGTAACAATGATTCAAAGGGCTAATACCGGGCGGGGAAGAGCAACTTCGAAATTCAGAATGGAGCTTGACTGACAATGAGTGATTTTACAGAAAGCTAAAACAGATCTTAACATAATATGCCAGTGCTGTGGTGTTATGAAAATGGCACGCGTTTCAGTGGGATCCAGTAAGCAGGAATATTTTATGTAAGGAATGTGAGGAATTCAATCCTCCCACATAAGCCTCTGTTGGAGTATTGCATATGATCCTGAGGCAAGTAACCAAAATGATCAGAGATTTAGAAAACAGGGTATAGAAAGAACAGTGTGACTGAATTGATGGTGCTTAGTCTAGAAACATGAAGGGAAATAAGAAGACTGAAGGGAGGTTGGAGGTACTTGAATGTTTACGAAGGTGAAGGCAAAGTAGTAGTTAATTGCTCTCCCTGACTTCTGTATATCAAGACAGAAGTAATGTTTCTAAATTTCCAGAGGAAAGATTTAGTTTAGTCTTCTCAAAGAACTGCTAAGAAGGATAATCAAGCTTTAGAATGTACTGCTTAGGGAGATTACACAATTGCCACCGCAATAAACTTTTAAGATCAGATTAGATGTATATGAGGGAATGTTTGAGGTGCAGTTGAGACCTCTTATGAACAGAGATAGGTTAGTCCTTTCTGGTGCAAACTTCTGCGATCGTGTCACTTAGCACTGGATTTGGATCATGCAGTGTGAGTATGGAGGTGCACAGCTAGTAAGGCAGATAAATATTAAAGGTCATGAGCGGGATTAAATGTGTAGCTTTTAGCCTCAAGTCTGAATGAGTCAAAACACGGTACCTCAGTAAGCTGTTATTGACTGTGATAGTTAATACAAATGAAGGAGAAGCTGAGTGCTATGTAGGCAGTTCAAATTCTGGCACGTATGGATTTTTTTCTAGGGATTGTACATATTGGGGTTAGCTGCTTTGGGGTTTTAGCATAGCTAGGTCAATAATGAGGACTTTGTGTTCGTCACTAGGTCATGGATCAGGCTGCCATGGTTGGAGCACCGGTGATTGGGCTGAATGACTCTGGAGGAGCCCGTATCCAGGAGGGAGTGGAGTCCTTGGCGGGCTATGCAGACATATTTTTGGTAAGCAGGCTGCTGGATGGCCGGGAAGCTTGGCATCCACAAAAGTGGACAAAGTCTTTCTTTACTGAAGTTGGTGTTTGTAAGTAAACTTCTAGGTTATCCCCATCCTATTTCAGCCAGTGTTATGTGGTGGATAAAGCAGCATATGTGAGGGCTTGTGAGACCTGGTCTGTCCTCTCAGTTCTCTTCTTGGCTTTGGGCAAGTTACTGTACTGCTGAGTTCCATGTACCCATGTGTTAAACAAGGGTAGTGCCGAGCCTTGTAAAACACTGTGGTGCGATGAAAAACTTTGTAGGAGCTGTACTATGTAGTGAGCTTTGTCATAAGAATGAAAGAACAGGCAATTTACTTACTTGGAAGAAAATCCCAAACAACTATTTAACTTTCTGATTTACACTAAAGTGTAGATTGTCTGTGTTGGGATGTAATTTCTCTGAAGTGTTTATCCATGAGACAGGTGGACCTGCTGTAGTTCAGAGAGTGTTTTGTTAGGTGACTGATGGTTGTGATCAACCACCAGCTGTCCCCACGTCTCCTCTGAAATACAGACATGTTAAGAATTTCACACAGCAGATTTGTTTTCAGTAGGGCTGATAAAAGGTGAAAGATTTCCACTGTAGAAAGAGAGACTTAAAGTAAATCAAACACTATGCACTTGGGGAAAACTTGAGAAACTGGGATCAGAAGCACCAAGTGCCTGTTCTGTCAAGATGTTAGGTCAGTGGGGAAAAAAACCGCCAGATGCAAGTCAGAGGTTTCTGTTCAAAGAACAGTATGCAGTACAATGTTAACCTCACCATTTGGGGACGTCCAGTACTGGTTGGACTGGTGAAAGTTTTATGTTTCTCCAGTATTTTTGTGGCTGATGCAAGAATTTTTCCTCTAGATACACTACTAATTGTTTTTTCACTGGAATGACATTATTTTATATGCCTCACCGAACACATTGCTTTAAAGTGTGTGCACAGAACATAAACATGATTGTGCTTTCAGTAGGAATGTGAGCAGGTAGGATGACAAGTCAGATGCTAACAGTCCTTTGGATTAGTGCAATCTGGGAGGATGCAGTTGAACAGTTAGAGAAGTCAGTTTGTAATCCACTTGAGCAATGAGCAGTGTAAACATTTTTTTGGACAACAAGCTATCCGTGATGGTGGACAGCGGTAGTTCACCATTGTGTAAAACTCAAGCCAATGCAGGAATCTGATTTTAAAAGAATTTCTGCCACAGTTGGTTAGTAAAGCTTACTTCTGCCTCGGAGCGATAGCGTACCTATGTGTTCAAATTTCAGGAACATAGCACTTCTCACCACTCCAGGCTCAGGGAAGTTTTTGCCCCTGCAGCATCTGTTGGGGTCACACATGCCATCTTCCTTTGCAGTCATTGCATGGTATATGAAGTCAAATGTATGGGAACAGAAGAAGCAAAACAGAAGCAACAAAATTAATTTGGTTTTATTTGCATCAAGACATTCTCTCTAGATATTTGTTTCCTACTAAATAAAAGAAGGTGTCCTCTCCTGTTTGTGAATTCTTGCAGCATCTGTGCACAGACTTGAAGATGCACTTTTTTGGTAAAACTAGATGTCTCTTTTTTTTTTTTTTCTTTCTTTCTT